AAATTTATTTTTAAAATAAAAACTCTTTTCAACATTATACATATTGTAATTATTGATTTTTGTATGAAATTACAGGAATGCAAAGTTAAAGCACTCTTTACAATTAGGCAATACTTAGCGTAAAAACTGTACAAAAAATAAACTTTATTCTTTACGATCTGCAAGTGCTAGGTGAATATGCTTATGATGAACGATGCCAATAAAAACGTCAAAATAGTGGGTGTTTGTTGAAGCCTTACTGTTTGTTTGTTTTCAATCAACTGACAGACGCAAATGTATTCATGAATAACTGATTCAGCGATCGTTCATTGGAAGATTTAAACCCAATATGGGTAAAATATTACCATAGGCCTATTATTAAAGTTTACAGGGAGAAATACAAATTATTAAAGTATCAATAATTTGGCACTATAGGTTATAGTTTTTTGTTTATAACCTACTTCATTGTGTGGATTCTTGAATACGAATTCTTTGATAATTTAAAAGCTATACAAAAAGCTACTTCCTGTGTGTTATTGCATATAAAATTACATAAACAAACCAAACAAATTGAACACAAGTACCCAGAATTGCTATGGAACAATTTCTGTTTTTCTATCACATAAAACTAGCTTCTAAAGTTTTTGCAGAGCCTTTTAAAGTAAACATTCATTGATCTCAAAAGAAAATTAAAAAATATCGTCACAAAACTGGTTTAAGAAATTGAAAAGGAAAATTTTGTAAAACAAATACAATAGTTCGTATATTAGTTCGTATAATAGTTCGTAGATTAAAGTGATATAATCAATTATTAGACAAAGTTAATTATACGAGCAGGTATATTTAACTTTGTAGTATTTACCTTGAACTAGTGTTCACTAACCAAATTACTTTTCAAAAAGTGCAAATACAAACAAATTAAGTTGTAGAAGCTCTAGATTTGAGCCCACATCATTTTAAAAACAAAATTCTTCGAAAAATAAATTGGTAATATAAAAAAAAAACAATTCAAATTTCGATGTAATCCAATCAGTTAAATACTAAACAAGTATTTAACACTAGCTCACGAAAAATTACAAGGGTAGGTAATGGAAATCCACCATTTGATATCCGGTTACAGAGCTTTTAAGCTATTTAGTCTTTTGAACCAAAATAATTGCTTACTAATTTGTTTTCCACCATTTGCACGAGTTATTTTATAGTTGGTGGTTATCAAATGAATCGATTGCTTTGATAATTGTTTAATTGTTGAAAGTTGATTCCATTTAAATAATATAGATAATGTTAAAAGTTTTCACTATATATAAATTATTTGGTAGCAATAATAAATCAATTATATTTTTTTCAAATGCTCAACGAGATAGTTATTGTTATTTTTTATACTGTGTGGGTATTGAGATTTTCTCATCCTAAACATTATACTAACCATCGATAAAATAAGTTATACCTTTCAAAGCAACCCTAAAAACTACACTAATGTATTTAATCGATTTTAGTTAAGTTTCCTTTGAATGATTCAATAATGTCAATATAATCTAATTAATTTTATAGCACATTAAATGTGTTTTGTCATTTGTTACGTTAAGTTTCATGGGAAATTAAAAAAATATCAACCTATATTTACTATTTCACTTACAACCAAACTAATCACCATCATAAAATCATACCTCAACATCATCACACATGATTACCTTTTCTCAATAACTTACCCGTAAAAAATACCTGAAGATTTTATCTCCAATAACCTAGATTCAAATATTTGACCTTTCATAATTTCTTCGTTGGACGTTACATTTAAACACTTATTCGCTCATTAGTTTTGTATCAACTTTTCCTGTGAGACTTCAGTACAAGAATGTGCTCTAAGTTTTTTCTAGTTGTCTGTGGAGAAATGGTCGCTTTCGCTGTGGCTGTGCTCTCTGCTCGTGCAACTGGGCTTACGTCTGATCGCATTGTGACCACGTAGTCATCCCAGAGACTTAGACGCGGGGATTCACTGATGTCCTTTCATTTTTATTCTCTCTTTGTTGTTGACCTCCCACCATCTTTACTCTCTTCGGTTCTTTATCGGTTAAGAAAAGTCTTGAGTTTTTAGAGGAAATAAATTGTATCAGAGGAATAGATAAATGTCATCTACACGTGATGGAAGTTGTTCATAGTTTACAATTTGTGTGGTTTGGGTGTTTCATATAACTTCAAATTTGAAATTGTATTCCGACTTGTCAAGCTTAGTTTTTCTACATGTGAACAATCTCCATAAAAAATGTTGGTTGAAGCAATAGATTGAACAGTTGTTTGTTATTCTTTGCCTTCTTGATTTCAGCACCACATGGTGAAGGGAATTAGAAAATAAAAAATATATATGGTGGTTTTAAAATATTAATTAAAATACTAGCTTAAAAGTAAACTGTAAACATGTTAACATAAAACGGTGTTAACAATTTTTGACGACTTAATCTTTTTAAAATTAATAACTCTTCAATTAAGTTTGAAATTAGTTAAACCGGAACAGTTTTGCTTATAAAATATTTGAATAATAAGTAAATCTGGTCAGCCATAAAAAATACTTTTCTTTCAACAAATTTAACATTTAAATCTAAAACCAAATGCATACACAGACACATTACTATGGCTCACTAATTATTCCATAAAACTAAATTATTTCCATAAAATTATTCCATGGTTATAATTTTTAACAAATTAAAATCTACAGTAAGGAATGAAGTGGTTGTCAACACATATCCAAATATTTTTTCCATAGGAAGTATTAATAAAAAAAACCACAAAAACAGTAGTTAGCACAGATAAAACACGAAATCTTTAGTTAGTTATCACATAGTTTTATTTTGTCATGTTTTAATTTCATAAAGCCATATGCAAACTTACACCTTTGATTAAATTATCTAATTGTTAGGTAAAGCGCACCATGTGTTAAGAAAAGGTTACTAGTAAGCTAAGTAATCATATAAAACTCCGGAGGTCAAATTTTATGATAAGTAAATGAAATGTACTATTTCTTGGCAACCTTGAACTAGTAACCGAGAGTCTTTCCTTTCTCTATCTTCGGTACCGTCCTGTTACTTTTTGCAGCCAGGACATTTTTCACAATTAGTACGACTCAAATGTCAGAGCTCATTCCTAGGAGAGCGTCGATCTGGATGTACCATTTGACCCGGTAAATCTTTCTGCAATCTACTTTCTGCAACCATGTGTTGTAAGAGTCCTTTAATTTAATATTGGTATTGTGACAAACACTATTAATCATAGATTAAAGACAGTTTACATGTAATGTACAACATGAATGGATTGCCAAATAAACATATAAGAACAATCAGTAGGTTGCTTGGTTGGTTGATATAAGTCAATGGGAAGATTTTATTTTGGCTCCAAATTAAACTATACTGTGATTGATCATTTGCCTTTTAACAAACAGTCCTGTCTAAAGAAACCGGCTCATTTCATTCAAATCCGTCATATCATACGTTCAATACTCATTCTTTGAACATTAACTTTGCCTTAATGGTGTTTAAGCGTTGTATTAGAAAATGTTTTAGTTTTTGGATGATAATTGAGTGTACGAAGTCATTTCCAAATTACGAAATAACGTTTGAAAGGTCATTACTAACACACTTACAGCAATTAGATCTCAATAAGTACTGAATGAATAAGGAAGAAAAAGAATATTTAAAATTTCGAAAATATATTATAAGAAATGTTATGCTATTTGAAAGTATTATAATTAATTCAACGGTAGTAATTTTGCAAGAAAAATAGTTTTGTAATCATAGGAAGCAGACAAAGCGCGTTCAAGCTCTAAAACAAACCTTAGTGTATTCTCACTTCACTATAATTTAGATCACGTAATTTTTATACATTTCATTTTACATTCATCTTATACATTTCATAGATTTTTATACATTTCAATGAGCATGAATAACGGAATTTTTAATTCTTTAAAACTAGTATTACGCTTAATTTTGAGATTCTTAGAGCGCATAGATCACGATACCAATCAGTATGTATATAGTAACGAGTAGTTAAAATTAATTTAAAAAGCCTACGGTATAACACACTTAACTGTATTAAGTTGTTTGACATTTTAGAAGATAAACAGGAGTAGAATAAATGAATGAAGTTGTTAAGAGGTTAATTGTTGACCTGCGGCTGTCTTCTCTGACCTCGACCCACGAGATGACTTCTGACCCTAGCGGTCTCCAGCTACTGCATTTAAGGACATTTGTATAGCTGGTTGTACGATAAAATTGAACATCTCTATAAAATGTATAGGGATTTTAATATGACCTGAGATGCAGCTGATTAAATTATTGAAATTTAGGTTTTAAGTTAGTAATAAATTTCTTTTCAATATAGAAACCTGTTAGGGTTGAAAAACTTTGAGGAGAAGCGAAAATTAATTAAAATGCCCTCATTCAAAACGTGAAAAACTAAAAGAATTTTTGAAATAAAATGACTAAACACTACTAAATACTAACAGGGAGAAACTAGTATAAAAATTGAATAAAATAAATTGGACATTAAAGTTTTTGGATAGATTAAAAACTTCAAAATCAAAACAATGCATACGTTTGCATGTATGAGTAAAATACTTTGATGATAAAATCGATTCTGAAGGTATTCGCTGAACGGATTTGTTCGTTTTGACTCTTCTGTACTCCTTTCAAATGTAGACCTTTGGAAAATTTTAAATAAAAAAAATCCCTTTACATCATACATTTACAAAACAAACTTAACAACGTAATTATACTATAATACACATAATTACACTATATCTATTGGTCTGCACCCAATGTGTTGCATTGTGAAAAGGCTGGAGGACGTATTTATTCTAGTGCGAACATAATTGCAAGGGGACAGAATAACATATGATGCAACAAAACTGCCCTGACATAACTAAGGGAGTGTAGAGGGAAGGAGGGCAGAGCGAGGGAAAGAGGAGCGAGGAACTGGAGAAATGGCAAGACTGGTTTCTCCTCTACTCACATCCCAGTGATAGTCTGTGGTTGGTTCGCGATGGACTGGTTTCTGAAGGTAAGAGTAGTTGTTTGGTGAAAACTTAGAAAATTCTACCAAGTTTTAGCTTTAAGATTGTAGTTAAAATATAAACTAGCAAAAAAGTTTATGTAGGATTTTTCATCGTAAATTACAACTGGTTTGTGTAAAAGGTATTATTTTCATTGGTCTGTGTCTTGTTAATTTTATTTAGTTCATACAGTATAATTTTAAAACTATTGATTAATTTGTATTCTTAGTTCCTTTATTTATCCCCGTCTTTGAAAAACGCACGTTTTTTTAATAACAAAACCGTTTCTGAATAGTGGTGTAAAGAGTTTATAACAAAACAACTGCTATCTAAAAATTTAAGTTTTACGAGTATTACTAATGTTTTAACTATTGATGCATATTCCTTTGTGTTCGTTTTTGTAGTTAGTTCAAAACTTATAGTAGGCACGTATTTTCCATTACAGTTTCAGGGATAGGTAGACGACAAAATATTTTAGAAAAATCTCCAGTTTTTCATAAATGCTGTATAAGTATAGCCATTCATTTTAATAAATAGTATGTCAATCCTCGCTTAAAAGTATCTAGAAAATTGTTATGTTGCCAAACTAAGATGAACAGAAAATTTAAATTTACGCTTAAATAAATGATTAATTTCCATATAAATACGATAAATTTCCGTGTATAATTTTTTCGTTGACAAATTTGCAATGGTGTCAGGTAATAATTGATTGCATCCATAAAAATAGACAAAACTAGTGCGCTTATAATTGTATAGTAGATATTTACATACCAATTAAATCTGTAAAACAACTTCAACAGTTTTAGTTTAAACATTAACACAATTTTACTTTACACAACTCTTCTGTGTTCAAGTGGGTTCGAGTAACCAAAAACAAAACCAAACAGATTAATTAAGATAGAGTGGTAACATGCAAATATGTTGAAGTTGATTTTCAGCACAAATGTGATATGTGAAAATGAAAAACAGAGAAGTGTTGTTAGGGAATGATTTGGAGAACTCGTTTCAATTTGTGCAGCGCCACCATTCTGTTACAACAAAAAGTAGAGGAGAAAGATTTAAAATTAGCAATTTGTTTTGGCTACATTTCCCGTAAACTACATAAAATGCCTGATATTTTAAGTAAAATTTTGAGTACAGTTATTTTAGGTATTTACGATCCACATTACAGCATAATATTTAAAAATAGTTTGTTATGTGAAGGTTTTTTTGCTCACACTAAATACAATTTGTAACTAACCTTGATTAGAACAGAATACACGTTTGGGACTTCTTAGTTCTTATACGGATTCAATTTGTTTCGTAATAACTCTATTGGCGGTTATGTATCGTTGTGTCGTATACTAGGCTTAAACTTGGTTGGTCTTAATCTAAAACTACATTAGACAGGGTAGTTTAAACTACCTACCATAAATCATTCTTATGTATATCTATTCTATTGTAAAATTGAGGTGGTGTCTGTTTGTCTGTGCGGCTGCCATGACTAAAATACTAAACCGATCCAGCCAAAATTAAACATACCGATTGTTCACATATCTAGGAATGTCATAGACATATTCACTTCCTTGAGTTCCTCTTGGGCTACGCCCCTTGGATGTCCAAAATTATAAGGTGAGGTTATCAAAAGTTAGAAAATTCAAAACCTTTGTTTAGGCTACCTTTGTGTTGACATTTCAATGTAAACAATCAGAACTGTTGAATGATTATTTGACAGTTTCAGCAAGATGATCCAAACAAGTTAAATAATAATTTACACAATTATTTGTAAAACTATGTCATTGATAATGAAATTAAAAAAAAATTAAGTGTTTGGATTAGGCGGTATATTAGATCTTCCTGTTGCGAAGCACGGGTTCAGAAGCTAGTAAATTATATTATCCATACTGTAGTTGTGAACTATCAGCTGTAGTTTTTACACATACCACTTCTTTTTTATCACGATCAATAACAATATTATTTGGAGAAAAAAAATCTTGTTACAAATAAATTATAACACTCTCATATTATCAATTAATAACAACATAAGATAAATACGTTTAATATATACGAACAATACACTACTTAAATAATGAATAACTCACTTAAACTTTAGCTTATTGTAAACACCTTCTTTGTTGGGGGTTTTCAACTATTAGAAGTCTTCATGAGATAAATTTCGTACGGTTCTTTAGAAATGTATAGCATTATTATTTGCTGTGGTGTTTCCGGACTAATTGATTGACAAATAAATAAAAGGTTAAAATACCTGATCGTCACCTTGTGGTCCAAAGTATTGTCCTGTAGGTATTTTAATCTTTTATTTATTTATAGCATTGGTAAAATAATTTTTCTTCCTAACATCTTACAACCCAAAAACTTGCACATAATGTACTATAAAAGTGAATAATATTTACTACAGCTACCTATAAATAACAAATTTAACAGTGTTCTCTACTCAACCTAAACACACTAGGCTATTAAGGGGAAGAGTTAATTTTTAGACCGTGAGACTTTTCTGTCATACCGACAACACCTTAGGTTAGGTTAGGTTGTGCACAAAAATACAAATGAACCTACTAACCTAACCTAGTCTAAGGTCATCGAGGTGTAGTTGGTATAAGATAAAAAATCAAGCTTTATCTCCTTGCTTTAAGTAGACATAATACACACATACGTGATATATAGGTTATTCAGGAAGGTAGGTTAGGTTAGGATAGGTTATGTCAGGTAAGGTTGTAAAAAAATACTATTAAACTTACTAACCTAACCTTAGGTACCGACCATCGAGGTGTATTTGTTGGTATAAGATAAGGTACCAAGCTATATCATAACTGGAAGTAGACATAATATACACATACGTGATGTACTCTTATTCAGGAAGGTAGTATTCTACAGTGTGTTCAGATTGGAACAAATTATACCTCTTGCATCCGTAACCCCCAAGCAGCGTCGTTCCGCTCCGTGGACCGGTAAATGCCATTGTTGTCTCCACAACCAACATCATACCATCATACCCTCATACCATCATATGTCTATCATACAACCTAGCCTGAACGATTAAACTCTTAGAGATATTTAGACATTTCAATTTCAGTTTTAGGCTTTTTCCTACTCTAATTGTTTTGAAAACACTTCGTTTCGGGTGGTTGAGAAACTCTTTCCGTTTTCAAGTTACTAACATTTATTTTACATTTACCTATCCCTATCCAACCTAGGTAAATTTTGGTGACTATAGATACTATCCTATAGAACTAGGTGGGTGCAGGTGAGTCTAATTAATAGTAAGTCACTTCAAAATGGGAAGAGTTTTCTTTAATTTCAAAACATGATGTGGTCAAAATACTTTGCGTAGGAAAAGATCATGAAAAAAAAATTATATTAATTAATTCCTTCACAATTGTGAAATTAAAAATACAGAATTTGTATGCATGTTTAATCTACTTCTAGAACACTTGTTTGTGTTTTGATAATGACGTATTTGAACAAAATTCAGTTGAACGTTTTTGATAGTTTTGCTTGATCTTGATGTTTATTTTTTGGAACTGTTGTTCTATATTTGATATGCATTGTGCGATGGTCAGCAATTGCCACGTAAAGAGTTCTGAATGTTTTCCATTACTTACTACCATAAGACAAATAAAAACATTACATGAATTAAAACATGGAGTAACATTTACAGGCAACTTATTTGCTTTTATGATATACTTTCCAGCATGAACTCACACTTTGACTGTATGTAACGCAAAAAGTATACAGTATTAATAATACAATTGATTATGTATAGTCATAGATTATGAGTATATATAATCAATAACTCACACCAAAGAACCTTTAAAGAAGTTAAAATTTTAGGATTATTTAGTAATTATTAGAATAACGGGAAAGGTTGAGGATTGTTTAGGATAGCTTGTTTGAGGAATGATGGAAAGATAATTAACTATCCTACAATATAATCAGTGTTATTATGTAACAATAAAATTTGTATAGGGAAAAAACTGAAAAAAAACTTACCAGGTCTCTTATTAAACCAATTATATGATTTGTTACTTTTTATAAGATAGTTATGTTAGATAACAGGGGTTAAAACATGCTTATTAAATTCATATAACATTTTAATATGTCACCAAAAACGCTTATTATAAGAATGTCCTCTTTCTTGTCTCAATGCCCCAAAACACTGTTGAATACCGTATGCAATTTGCATGCTCAGTTACATGTATATCAACAAACATTGAGAAGGTCGTAAATTTAAACTCGACAGACCATGAGAAATCCTGTATAACACAACTCCCTTGATCCGTGAACTTGTTATGAACTTCCTGTAAGAGATCCACTTCTCACCTACAGTAATGGCTGCAATTTTGAATAATTAATTAAGCTTTTAGCTCAAATGTTTTCCGTCTGCCACGGTAAAGAAGCGGAAAGAGAAAGATTCTGTGCCTTTGTAATATCCGGTTCCTTAAATGTACTTACCTGTGATGGTCATTGAGGTATTTGTTATACAGGAACACACGGAGTAAATATAAATGTTTAATAGTATATTTTTATACAATCAACGTTCTATCCAAATATACTTGACGGTAATAAAAGTCAGAGCATAAAAATTGGCTTTCAACTTTAAAAAAATAAGTATTGTAGCCTGAAAAAAGTGACATTAACCAATAATCAGCTTATCATTGGCTTGTTTACGACCTAGTAAAAGAGAGTATTCAAATTGAAAACTATAGAAACTGTATTTCCGAAGCAGGAATTCAGTATTTTCAAATATTATTAACGGTAGCATATCCTAAATAAATACAGTGATTTGCTGGGCTTGCACACTTAAGTCCAGTTGCGACTACAATAAATAAATAATTACCTAGGATTTTATAGAAGTCCACTTTAACTAAGGCGTGTAAATAATTGGTTAGGCTTGTTCAGTTACGATTACGATGCGTAGGCCTAATGCCTAGACTGCTAGGCCTATACAGAAGTTCAGTTATAGCTATTTATTATAATTAAATATTTAACTAAACTTGTTAACTTGTGT